TTTGGTTTTTACAATCACTGGTTGTATTTTTCAATCCAAGCATACAAAAAGCATCAGAGGCAAATTGCAATTCAGTTTCTGCAGTCAAATCTAGATGTGCACTGAGGATGCCAGAAATTATTGATCTGTTCATCAGGTGATATACAATACAAAATGTGTTACCTGATGTTTTTAAGACCAAAGCCTCAGCTTATTATATTTAGCCTACAAAACCAAATGAGCTCATTTCTTTAACGTCTCCCCATTGTCTTCTGCAAGGACAGAGTTGATTTTGCATGTTGCCTGTAACTTTCTTACACTTGAGTTTGACTATGAGCAGAGCATATATTTTTACCAAGTCAGCACCACCATTGTTTTACATTCCGTCATTCAGCTCCTGATCCGTGTAAACTCACTGATTCCCAGCTCTCACACTTCTCCTCTCCCATGCACAAACAGCTGGCTGTCTGGGACTACTGGAGTTAATCCTTCCAGGACAGCTGTGACATCTGGCACACACGCTAAGTCGACACACACATTCTTGTCTTTATTCCATTGGTTTGGCCAAAACAAAAGTAATGTGCTGCATGTCAAGTTTAAGCTGGGGTTAAATGCTAAAACTGAATAGAATGAACCCATTTTAAAACAATGGGTCTGCAAACAGTTAGATCTGCAGTCCTCTGGTTATTATCTGGTCAGATAATTCATCACTCGTCTGCTTTACTTGCTCCGGAAAACACCTGAGAACCTGTCGCTGTTTTGTTCCCATAGTGACCAATGTCATCCAACCGGGGTGTGTCCGTGGCTCAAATGCTGACTGGTATGTGTGTGTGCACACACTTTGCATAGTTCGCTGAAATGGCACATGGGATCTTTGCAGGGCAGCGTGGTTAACCCTGAATTATCCCCACCTGTGCAGGAGTATAAATACAGCCCTGAAAATAGAGCTGGACTGGAAATAACAGGGGAATTAGGGGGCAGAAAGAGACAAAGCAAAGACACTGTATGGAGGATTAAGACTTAGGAGACTGGAATTAACCCAGAGCAGACAGTTCTCACCACCAATAGTACACTTTATTTTAGCGTAGACGGAAATCTGTTAATGAGCAAGTTACAAACTATTGGCTTTGTTGTTCCTTCAGTAGGTTACAACTATGATCTGAGAACTAAACTAGGTTCATGCTCAAAGAGATCTGGCTGCTTAAAAGTTAAAGCATATTGAAATTTCTTAAGAGGCTGCATCGAAATTCACTATTTTCTATGAAGAAAAGTTTGCTGTGTTTGTAAAATAAAAAATAATATTCCATTATCTTTCCACAAAGAGAAAGAACCGCCCACTCTTTGAAATATATACGAATGATTGGCAACTCGCAGCTGAACAACATGCAACATAGCATTCTCGGAAAGAACAACAGAAACTTAGGTTACTGAATTGGAGCTCAGACCCACCTTCTCCACTTTAAAAAGAAAATTGCACATGCACAACCCTGTACCCGTTCACGAGAGGGTAGGCCTATTAAACACATGCAAGAGCATGCACAAGCCCATTTCTCCTCCTGCACACTTTGTTTAAAAGTTGCTGTTTGCATCGCTCATACAAGCTTACTTTCCAAAAGAAGATTTGCAATTTTTCCACTATGTCAGACTCACCACCGGTAAGT